ACCGACCGAAGGCTCTGCAGGCAGTATATAGTGATCCAGCAGAACCACTGGCTATTTTCCATCAGCGATGTCTAGAAAAGAACCATATTCCGACGGAATGGAAGCTAGGGATTATTACTCCTAAGCATGAAGTAGGTAGCCGCACTGACCCCACCAACTAACGTCCAGTAACTCTATTTCTTGTGCTATTCAGTTTTATGGAATCAATCATAGCAGATGCTCTGATGCAAGATCTGGAAAGCCACAACCTAATACCCCAGAAAAGTATGGCTTTCGTCAAATGATTTATGTACTACTGACTTATTAATTGAACGTAATAACTGGACTGGAGCCGTTGATGATGGCGAAAGATTCAGTGTCATCTTCCCGGAATTCTCAAAATCGTTTGATCGCTTGGTGTTAGGTAATCACAAAATCAAATGCGCACAGAAACGAGAAACAATTGACTTGTTCGGTAAGAACAGTCTCTGGTACGAGCGGACTAGTGCTTTTCTTCGTTGCAGAACACCTGTTACCACCGCTTTTTTCATACCACTCACACGTCCAGTGGTTCGCAGAGATCGATAAATTCAAACTAGCGCTCAGCCGTATTTTGAACTGTAATCATAGCGTTTTCATACCCACGTCGGCCCGTGCAGTGTTTCACAAATATACTTCTCGTCCGGTGCGTTGTCTTTTGACTCGTATGGCGCAATCTAAGTAGTTGCTAAATCGAACCCCTGAAGACACAACAGACTCTGGCGACAGAGGTGGTGTACAATAATGTCCATTTCATTTGCGCAGATGCACCAGCTTCTCCATCAGCCGAAGTTTCACTTAGAGAAATCCCAGAGGTAATTTATCGACTTATTTGCGAAGAAGTTGAACGTTCAGCCCGAGCCCCAACATGCTGGCACACGATCTTTAGCAGACGCGGTCACGACAGCACTCACAGTGTTGGTTTTTGCTGAATCAGACGGAGTAACTTGTGATTCCTGGTTCAGTAAATATTAAGATCTTTTCCGCGTTGTGTGGGTGGCGCAAGATGATGCATGGGAAGTTCGGTTGTTGCTGCGTAAACTTTGTGCAGTTGAGCATGAACGCTATAGTAATTTTGTGTTGCCAAAGAATCCAAGGGTTTTCCGCTTCGGTGAGACTGTGCAAATCCTGACGTCCATTTTCTGTGAGCAAGCGTCTTTTTTCATTATCCGTTATAATTGTTTAAACTTGCTCAAACGTGATAGCCATTATTTTTTAACACATGCTGGCATTTTGAACCAAGAGTGTGAACGTTTTAAACTCGGTACGATGACACCTGATCGATTCAAATGTCTCATGTTGTTTGCAGTCTTCAGTCTCATGCCGATACTGACGTGCGCACACGCACGCTACACAAGTTAGAGCAGGAACCCCAGTTGAAAGTACAGGACATTGCTGCTGAATGCCAGAGACTGATTAACTCAAAGCATGATACCAAAATGATTGAAAATGCTGACCCCAGGAGTGAAACACAGATTGACCGCACGGCTGTTCGAGGAAAAATGTGAGCCACCGAGTACCCAACCAGAAACCCTCGATCGCATGCTGGAACTGTGGTGGATGGCATTTTGTGCGATTCTGTACTTACAAGAAACATCTCTGTCAGAAATGCAAACGTCTGGGTCACAAAGAATCCCAATGTCGAAAAACGTACATTGCCAGGCCTGTGTCTACCCCACACTTGTACACGAACTCTAAATCCCGAAAGACGTCGTTTCAGGGAGCAAAGACAAAAGTAGTTCTCGCGACAAGTCGCACAGAATTTGAGGACAAACGAAAGTACATCACCGTCGAAATTAACCATGTTCCCATATCCCTGCAAATAGATACGGCCTCGGACATTACCATCATTTCTCGATCATCATGGACGAGACTTGGCGAACCTCTGCTGAGGCGCACCAATCTGACTGCCCAAAATGCATCCGGCGAACCACTGAGGTTAGATGGTGAGTTCACATGCGACATTAAATTCAAGGATCTGAGCCTCCGTGGAACCATCTACTTAGCTTCTTGTGTCAACATTTATCTTCTTGAAATTGATTAGACTGATAGATCGAATTTGCTCAATGTACCACTGAATAATGTGTGTTCTGAAACGAACGCCATGGTGCATCATACAGCCATACCACCTATTCCAAGTAAAACCAGTGCTGAACAGTTTCATGCGAAAAAATGCAAGCCAAGCTTACTCTGTTACCTTGTGCTACACCAGTGTTTCGACCCAGGTGCTCGGTCGCGTATGCATCATCTCATACGAATTCGGATATGGAAGCTCAGTACAACAGACGGTACGAGCACGGCGCCGAAATTTCAGAGTTGGAAACGCAGTTTTTGCTGTCTCTCATCGAGGGCATCAAATAAGCTGGATACCAGCTCAAGCGGTGGGACGACGTGGCAAAGTAATGTACGATGTTCGCCTTGGTAGGCAAGTGTGGGTTCGTCACGCCAACCAACTGCGACCGCGGTTTGCAAGGACCCCAGAGACACGCGAAGCTAAACGACTTGATTTCAATGAATTGTTGCGCAGATTGCACCCAAGCACCTCGACCGGACAGGACACGCTACTCGTGGAACGGACTGAAAATGAACACCGACTAAATCCACAAGGGGTAAGAAGTGCGTGCCAAGATTGCAGGTCGATCAACGAAGGAAAAGCTATACAACTACCTGTCTAACTATTTCAACAAGTGGGAGATGTTAGGTCAGAACAAAGTCAAATGCGCAAAGAAACGAAACAAATTCACTTGTTCGGCAAGAACAGTCTCAGTTACAAGCAGACTAGTGCATTTCTGCGTTGCAGAAGATTTGATACGACCGCTTGTTTCATACCACTCACACGTCCCGTGATGCTTTGAGATCGATAAATTCAAATTAGCACTCAGCAGTAATTTGAACTTTAATCAGAGTGTTTTTATACCCACGTCGGCCAGTGCAGTGTTTCACAAATATGCTTCTCGTCCGGTGCGTTGTCTTTTGACTCGTGTGACGCAATCTAAGAGGCTGCTAAATCGAACCCCTGGGGACACAACACTTGGACCATCGAATTCTCCTTTAGAAGCTTCAAAACGACTGCATTGATGACGCAGTCCTGAGTTCGAAAAGAAGTTTCCTACGCGAACGGCGGTTTGAATTGAGAGTTCGGGGTTATCTGTCCACTGCCATTGAATTTGTTTTCGGTGTACCAAAATGTTTGGTGCTTTGATCTTCTCCTTTCTTGGTGTTCATTAACAGGTTGCGAGATCAGTTGCTTCCGGTTTCCTAAATGTCGCTGATGATATCTAGATATGGCGAAGTATGAGAGGACCGGACGACCACGAACGGTTTCAATGAGATATTAACATGGCGTCGAACTGCCTAGTTCGAAGCGCGTTATCATGTAACCTAAAGAAATGTCGCTTTGTGTAATTACTCCACAGAAATGACTACACGTATTTGCCTGGAGCACACGGAAAGCAGATTAGCTCCCAGGAATTTTACCTCGGTGTGCTTATGCAAAATGACCTCAAGTGTTCAATACAGGCTGATGTAGCTGCTGAAAGAAGTAACCAACATGTCTGCGTGCTGCGAATTGCTTTCTAAAGCTGACTCAGCTATCATCCAGATTATGCACAATTCCTACGTGCGGCCGTACGTTGAATACACTATCCAAGATTGGAAACCTTGGTTGAAACGCAACCTACCGACATTAGAGGCAGCACGACGAAGAGGAACAAATAATGTAAGTGTCTGCGCTAACACACCGAAGGCTGAAGTCGCTTGGAATTTCCAGCGGTCCCTACCGACAACCGCGCGGCGATCTCATATTAGCGTTTCAAATAATGTGTGACCGCAACAGCGTATGCCACCATTTGCTGAAACTTAACCACGGCAGGCAGCTCAGGGGTAACTGCTTGTAATTGAGGGAACAATATTAGCGTTTAGAGTGTGGACGGAATTACGTTTCGCCTCATTTTTGCCAACCCTTGAAGGCACTCCGAGACTCAGTTGTATCCACTCGTACCTTGGAGTTTTCAAAAATAGATTAGATATTGCTGTTAGCTCCTAGCACTGTGTTACCTAAACTACGCTAGTGTGGATTACGCAAGTAATGCCATTGTATAGAATTTACGTATCAAATTGACTGAAGTGAGAGACCATATAATACTTTCCCTAATACTTATATCAAGGACCACTGCACCCCGGGTATTTCTGCACGCTTACACTTGGTTTTGTATAGTACACAGACGTTATTCATTATTGCATTAACCTCTGTAGACGCTCGACAGATGACCCACACATAATTCCATTTCATCGTATTCACTTAAACCTTCTACGGGACGTGTCAAGCACTTCCTTTTGACCATTGATAAATCATTGTTCATTGTTCAACAGTTTCACATTAGGTGCAGTGCCACTAAGGATATGTCACTGTGGTACCTCGTATATTTTAATGCATTTTCTGATGCTTAGTCTATGATTCAGGCGGATGATACCCTATTTTCAACAACAGTTAACCGGTAATTCAGACAAAGCTCCCGTCTCCTAAGGTTTGCTGTGCTGCCCGCACTGTTCAATAACAGAGTGTAAATATTCACACATGCAAGGAATGAATCACACTCAGATAACTTCCTTCAAGACTACCTGCAGAACTCTTAACTGGAGCCTACACACGATTACATGTAGACATCACTAGACATAGATTTTCCCAAGTGTGATTGAGGAGCATACCTCCTAGACTACATGCGTTTGGCTCCGGTGTAACCTATCCTTACTGTGTTTCAGCGTCGAGTTCTGGTCAGACCCGTTGTGGTGTTGGCTACGACCATGGTGAGAACCGAAAGAACCGGAGAAATGGAAGTTGCTTTCCCCGTCTTCAAGTTCCGGGTTGTGTCTTGATGCCACATAAACGTGTCGACTTTGTGAAGTTGTGATGTAAAGTATCGCCTCAACCACCCATTTTCTCACATTCTTGTCTGTGCACCGTTCTAACATAGTAGTTTCCCATGTTGCTTTTGTTGCGTGTAAACCATATGGTATGTTGAACGGGTGCAATATCAGTCAGATGGAAAGTAAACTCGGAAATCTGGATTATCTCGAAGGTTGTAAACATGGATCTAGCATGCTGTATACCACGATGACGAAATTGTGTGAGAATGCTGATGTACTCGTGATTCTGGTTCGGCCAACACGAATGTTACGCATTTGTGCATATTCGTAGGCTTAGATGCAATTTGCTTCCCTTATGGAAAGTTGCGGATCCTTATGAGGGAACACGATTTCCTTAAGAAGGTTTTCGGTTCCGTAATGGATGCAACTAACTCGAAAAACGTAAATAATAAATCAGACAGCTATCACACCCACAGCTGTGTCATCATTTTGAGAATCGCCAGCAGTGCCCATTCCATCTGACCACGGCTCTGTCTAGAATGAACATCCGGACTGTTGTCAATTAGTGGAAAAGTTCACTGGGTTACCTGGGACGGCAACGACCGACGTGATTAATTAACTGTAAGTGATATACTGCTCTTCACTGTCTGCTATATTGCGCGCCGCTGACTTGCAAAAGACAGGGTAGCCCCTCACCAAGCGACGAAGTTAACGAACATAAGGCACCAATTAACTTATGACTGACTGAGTCTAGGTGTGATGAACTTCTGCGTATCCCATTCAATTTCTTCCACTCTGTCCGTATAATTAATTACAGTGTATTAGCTTTACGATGTCTCACTACAAACCAGAGTGCTGTCTATCATCGTTTTCTGATGTCTAGGTCTGGGATATTTTGTTTTTAACTGGAGATTATTGATAGTATAGTAGCTTTCATCAGGTATAACTAGGGTAGATAAAGGATTCTTGCTTTAATCTTTTCAAGCCTTATCAAAGTTTGCGCATTAAGGGTTACGCGAGAATTGATCCCAAACCTATCAGCTAATTTAAGCGAATGCAATAGGTTATGTGACAGTTCACTGCACATTTTCCTAACCCTATCACAAAATCATCAGACCGAATATCCTACGACAGGTTAGGGACATAAATCACGTCATCCCCCCCCCCCCCCGGGGGGGGGTGGGGGGGGGGGGTGTGTGACCACAACACACACACTGTGTTTGAGTGGGGGGGGTGGGGGGGTGTGAACACACAAAACCAACAAAAAACAAAGGTGGGGGGGGAGGGGGGGGGGACCCACACACACACTTGGGGGGGGGGGTGGGGGGGGGGGGGGGGGGGGGGGGGGGGGGGGGGGGTGGGGGGGGGTGGGGGGGGGGTGGGGGTGGGGGGGGTGGGGGGGGGGGGAGTGGGGGGGGGGGGGGTGGGGGGTAGGGGGGGGGGGGTGTGGTGGTGGGGGGGGGGGTTGGGTTGGGTAGGGGGTAGGTGTGGGTGGTGGGGTTTATGGGGGGGTGGTGGGGTTGTGGGGGGGTGGGGGAGGGGGGGAGGTGGTGGGGGGTGTATTTGGCGGTGGTGCTTTGGGGTGGGGTTGGTGGGGGGGTGTGAGGAGAATTGGTTTTATTGTTTGTGGTTATAGGGGTGTTCTAGGGATGAGAGGAAGTGTGATGGTTTTGCTTAACTGGTTTTTGTGGGAGACATAGGATGTTGAGGTGTTTTTTAATTCTATAACCTGTTGTGATGAGGATTTTAGTATGGGGTTTGGTGTTAAAGGTTGTAATTAGTTGGGGGGGGTGTCTAACACACATTTTCTAATCGGCGGGGGGGGTGGGCTTGGGGTGTCGGACATTTTGTTGCCTTCTTTCGTCGTTTGTGCGTGTCTGGGTAGCAGGTGGGTATCTAGTTCGTGCGTATTCCATCTTATAAAACCGATTGCCGGTGCACTGTTGTAATACATTACCACTATAATTGTCGTCAAACATAAGGAATTTGGATTGATTTCTTTTGTGGGGGCCGGTACTTAATTTGCGATCTTCTGCATGGCGCTTTTTGTTTACATTTACAATCGTGCACATCTTGATTCATCCAAAGGATTCTTACATTATACCGTTGAAAAGTAGCCACAGTGGCAACCTACAACACTGCTTTAAATGCATAATGCAATGCGGCTGTTAAGCTGTCGTCTAGACGTCTCTCTTCGAAGTTTAGACAGCATTTAGGGTGCCCAGGCTGAACCTTCCCTTCTTGCTGCTAAAAGAAGCTTATCACTTAACGCAGTCCATGGTGCCATAACTTAGGTTACCCCGCCTCACATAAGATAGACAAATAACGGCGCCATCATAATAAGAAATGAAATATTCGAAGCCCTGAAATGTAAATGGAGATCGTCTGAAATATTGATTCAAGAGGATTGTCCTGTTCTCCGAGATGGGCACTTCGGTTGCAGTCATTTCGTTATCAAACTAGGCAACGCGTTCAGTGCGGCTATTCAGTCCTGATTTGCAGAGTCTCGCAGAACTATTCCAGATCCGATTGACTATTGATTTTTGCCTGCTTCGAACGTCAGCCTTCGATCGGTTCACCTGAGTCGGTAGAGTGTGCACCTCTTCCGCTTGTCGATCTGGTGCCTAATGCTGGCTTAACTTGCAGAGCTTCCTAGACACTCTCCAGCCCCAGGTGTTTGTTGATTGAGTTCCGGCCAGAATGCCAGGCCTCGAGAAACTCACGCGTTCTGCGGTTTCTTGCTCTTCCAACTATTTCAACGTTCTCCAGATCGAACTGATGGTCATCGGCATCCATGTGTAATGACATTAAGGATTTCTCATGGTGGCGGCGGATGGCCAGACTATGTTCATGCAGTCTTTTGAGAAGACAGGGCTACAGGTATTCTCAATAATTTCCACATTGATTCAAACAATAATTCACTGAATTAATGTGCAGGTTCACCGTATTCAACTTCATTGTTACTACGCATAACTAAATCGGGAGAGAACCTGTTTGTCGTTAGGCGCACTGATAGGATATATCGAAAACGAATCTCATGATTTGGGGTACGGTCATAGTGGACGAAATGGCAGATGCGGATTTCAAACAAAACTTTGGTCATAATTTAATTATACGTATTTTAACGTAAGGCACTAGACCGGTACTCCCAAATATACTATACGAAGTGAGGCTTATAGATTTGGTTTAGCCGTTGCATTTTGTAATCTTTTGCTTGCCGGGACATTAAGTTTGAACGACCACTTCTAACAATCGGGCAACCATTCCACGTCAGCGTTACGTCTCCAGAAGCAAATCCAGCCGATGCGTAACACAGGGAGGGACTTGGAGATCCGGTACGCCCCCGGAGGCATGTGACAGTAGGCGACACATTTATTGTGGATAGTTGTTTGCTAAAAAGTGCAAATTCATCAAATTTGCTTCCATGACGGAAGGGGTAAACACGAAGGATAATAATCATATTATGACCGAAGAGGAAATCGGTACTATAACCGTTGATTTCCCGGCAACCGAAAGCGAGAGTGAAAGCATAAAATCAGCTGGAAATTTTATTAATGATTTGCTGAGATAAATGTCCGATGTTACAGAAATGGAAATGAAACCACTGTTTGTACCAAAACAGACATATCAACCGTTTCGACGCATATCATCAAGTGAGCTGTTAGTCAGCCAGGCAGCAAATGGAAAGCGAGCGTGACGGCTTCCATTACTGAACTCGGATTGGCTGATACTCCTGTGTGTGTTCATCGTTTGTTTACCTGAAGCAAAGGAGGAACCGCATAAACTCAGTAGGACCATTAGTTATGAATTTGAACCTGCAACTTAGATGGAGGTATTTGGTCTGATAGACATGCCGTAATTTTTGCTGAGCTGTATTTGCTGCATAAACGTTTGTTCCTGAAGGTCTGAGTCCTGCAACGGGGCATCAGAGAAGAAAATACTAACCCCACCGCCGACGCCCGGATGCTCTTTGGATTGCCAGCGTGTATTCAGATGCCAGCCCCACTGAACATTGACGATCGGAACTTGGCGACTAATTGGCGTCTATGGAAAAGCAATTGGGAGGATTTCGGCAACTTTGTGCTTTTGGACGAAAAACCGATGACCATGTTTCGACACACAACCGCGGATGACGAGCGCCAAGTTCTGGAGACATTGGACTACGATAAAGGCAAATATCCAAATAATTTAGAGAACATCGGAAAGTTCAGTGAATTCTGTGAAGGTCAAACTAACGAGACCAACTAGCTCTGCTGTTCTTTTCGAGCAACAGAGGCCCAAACGAACCGTCAACGCGTACATCATTGAATCGAAGAATTTAGCGCGATGCTTTAAATTCTGTACTTGCTTGGGCGACAGTCTCTTAGGCGATCTGATAGTTATAGGAATCAATGATGAAAGTTAGACAAAGCGGCATCTGCGACGACGCCAATTATCGCCCCGGCAGTGCATTGGTATCTGCAACATTGAGTCCTCAACCACCTATCAATACCAACAAACTAGCACGTAACAAATGTAGAATTGTGTGCCGTTTCCGTAAGGCGAAGCCTCGAATGCTACTAAGGTGAGAAGGCAAATCTGCAAATTAAGCGCCACGCGACATTCGAGCACCCGCCAACAGAGTCTGTCATGTATATGGACATGCGCCAAATGTAGAAAACACCAACCGCTTTGCTCCCTACTGTCAATCAATCAATGTGAGTGCACTCGTTCTTGACAAGTCAGCAGCAGATGTAGAACATTCATTTGGTAACGTGTCTCGGAGGGCACTGCAAAAAGATGTCTACGCAAGTCTTTGATCGAAGGTAAAGCCGTACGACTCCAATTAGACACAGGTGCTACTGTCAACATGCTTCCATGGAAGCACTGTCCCGGAGTGTGCAATCAATCCATTCAAGATTGCCTAAGTATTTGGTATGGTTTCAGCTTTCATTAGAAGGGTTCAGCTACAATCGAAGTGGTTATCCCAATAGACAGGGCCTCATATCGACTGGAATTTGTGATCGTAGAGGTGAAGCTAACACTTAATCTCTGCATTGATTTGATCCAGTCTCTCGGTTTTGTTGATTATAATCATGTGCGTTTTGTGCATATTTGTCAGAGAGAAACTGATATTAGTGACTAATATCCGTTTGTGTTTAGCTCAAGTTTAGGAATGTATTAGGGAACCGCACATATGTCCTTAGATCTTTTGATATGACGGAAAGCGCTACCTGCTAGGAGTGTTTTATTTGCACTGCGTGGCACGTTCACCGCTGTATTAAGCAAAGGGTGTGTTTGCCAAATTCGACGAGCCAATACACCAGGTTAGTCAGGTCGCAATCATTACGAAGAAGACGGGCAAACTTCGTGTGTGGGTGTTGACCCAAAACTGTTGAATTAGGCCTTGGGTAGAGAGCATTGCGCGCTAGCCACCTTATATGAGATTTTGCCGCGTTTGGCCAAAGCTAATTATTTCACGAAAGTAAACCTCTCTTCGGCATTCTGACAAGTGGTTCTAGATGATGAATCCAGTTTCATT